TTTGGAAAATACAGGCTCCCTGAATTATGCGGGGCTTCTGTAAACTGTTCATTGCACACACTGGTACTGTACCTATCCGTGTCATACTATTCTGGTAAATACCATAACCAAAGCAACTTGGGAAGGAAAGGGTTTATTTAAAGCTTATACATCTATGGCATAGCCCATTGTTGCCAGAAATCAGGGCAGGAATTAAAGCAGGCTCTTAGGCTCCCATTTCGTAACCCTTTTATACAACCTGGGACCACCTTGCCCAAGGTGCCATTGGGCCCTCCTTCATCATTTAGCAGCTAACAAAATGTCCCACAGATATGCCCCAAACTGGCAGAGGCAATTCCTCACCTGAGGTTCCTTCCTCCCAGGTAACTCTTTGGATCAAGGGGACAGGAACTAACCTTCGTGCATCTGGTCTGAGGGTTTTTCAGTACTGGGAAGTTGTCAGGGTCATGGTGGAAAACAGACGTTTCAAATTTGTAGTATTTGCATGAAAGCTCAACCATGTCACAAAGGCTTTCCTTAAAATAGCTAGTTTGTTCTTTCTGTTTCAAAAAAATTCACTCAGGAAGCAGAAGCAGGTAGGTCTCTATTAGTTGCCTGGTCAACAAAGTAAGTTCGAAGCTAGCTAGGGGTTCATAGTGAGATCTTGTCTGACTTCAAAAACAAACTGCATTGATAAGAAGACAGAGATACATTGTTACAGCCTATACACTCTTCCTCATCCCTGGAAGACAGATATTTTGTTACAGCCTTTAGACTCTTCCTATGGGGAAGAAGAAAGATACATTGTTACTGCCTATAGGCAAGTCCTCTTTGGTGGAAGTCAGATATTTTGTTACAGCCTTTAGACTCTTCCTCTGGGAAGAAGAAAGATACATTGTTACTGCCTATAGGCAAGTCCTCTTTGGTGGAAGACAGATATTTTGTTACAGTCTATAGACTCTTCCTCTTGGGGAAATCTCCCTGGAAAGTTTCACACCTGGAAACTCAGTTCCCCTGAAGAGTAACGCTGAGGCCTATAGGCCTTTACAGACCTACAAAAATGTCATGGTTTCTTTTAAAATCAGAAGAAAATTAAAGTTAGGTCCTTTTTTTAACTGAAGAAAACAGCATATAATTGTAATACATTTGTTTTAATGGCAGCAAGATTACAAAATACAATTTTTCCTTTCTTTTCTAAAAGGATGAAGCTCACAAAGGTACAATTGTCTGTGGTCCACAGAAGCACTGTGGAACCCTGCATCATTGTGCCAATTTGAAATGTGTTCCTTAGAAAAGGTAGGAGTAGTGATGTAAACACTTTTCCTTGGGGTGACCATCCAAGTTTATCAGATAGTAAAAGTCCCTCATGTGTGCTTATTTTATCACACAGACTATATCTTTTAAACTTGTCCTGAATGATCATGCCAGGGTCCCTGTTCGGGCACCACTCTGCTGGGTCCTCCAGCAGTCAGGGCTATTGTGAGGGCCCGTCCATCCGGTCACTTCCCAGGACCGAGCAGGTGGTGAGTGTCGACAACCCAGACCCCCCTCCTAGTCACTGGAGAGAACCACACTGAGTATGGAGACCTGCCAAAGCAGAGTCTTGCTTTATTGTAACAGGCATGGGCATATATAGGATTGAGAAAGTGGGTGGGGACCTCAGGATGGGCTGAGGTGTAAGGATCAGTAATATTCCACCACATTAGCAGTAGCTGGGCAGAGGTAGTTTGGATGAGTCACTCCTATGCAGAAGTGATAGGCCAGAGACAGGTCTCCAAGCTCTAGGCAGGCTCGGGAAGTTCCACTAGGCATTGTGTCCAGGCCTTTTCAGGACCAACATGGTCAAGATTTAGTAAACTTAATATTTTTTGCTGTGACATCAAGAGCACAACGAAACTGGCTCTTCCCCCTGTAAAGACTGGGAATAGTGAATCATATTTGTTCAGTAGACTGCTGGCTTGTGCTTACCCCATGCTTCTTTGTGCAAAGAGCAACAGTGAAAAGTCAAGTTGTGCCTTGGTACCATTGTCGTGTTCTCTGTCCCACACCTGTCCTCCAGGCCTGCCTCCTTTGACCCTCAGATCCACAAAGGTTTGACCACTTTGGTGGGACAAGAAGTGTTGAGGACATGGAGGGCGCTTAACCCCACCCACTGCCAAACACACCTTGACTTCTCTCAGGAGCCGTCTGATGGCTACAAGTCATTTTAAAGTAAGACCCTCTGACCCTGTGACTCCGCTTCTAAGACTGGATCCCCAAACTCAGATGTGCGGAAAACAAATTCTTGAGACTATTGCCCATATCTTTGCAGTAAACAACCTACTTCTCTTGGGTTCCTGTGTGGAAGACAAGAGTGGGTGCATGCTCCAGGAAAAGTAGGTGGGGCAACCAGGAGAGTGACAGACCTCTTGATCTGCCGCCTTGTTCTATCTGCTCTTCCCCTCCTAGCAAGCCAAATACTCCATTCCACCCAGAGAAGCACTTAGCTTCTCCTCGGTCTCTTACTTTGACAGTCTATTTCCCTCTCCCTGTGACACCTTCCCTGGTTTTCTAGGACCCCACTCCTTATGTTTGTTAAGCAGTGAATGCTCAGCTTTAGGGGAAGAGTTAGTTAAGCAGTGAATGCTCGCCCTTAGTGAAGAATAGCAAAGAACCCTGGGGTGTATGGGAGGGAGGAAGGACTGTATTACCATCTCTTTTGTTGCTTAAAGACCTTTCTATATTGAATTGGGTTTTGCCCCTGAGGTTAGAGCTGGGCTGAAAACAGTTTGAAAGATCATCAGCAGAACAGCTGTACTTAGAATGTGGTCCATAGACCACTCTGGGATCCTTTCAGGGAGTTTGTGCCTCAAAATTGCTTTTATTTTGGTAAGAGAGCCTCATCTGCCTTTAAAAAAAAAAGTCTGTTTTGCTGTTTTCAGTGAGATACAAAGGCTTCCATGAGTAAACCAGGTACTTAGCACAAAACAAACTAAACTAATGCCTGGGGCTTCTTCACTTCCCCTCTCCTCCCCTCTCCTCTCCCCTCCCCTCCCCTCATCTCCCCTCCCCTCCCCTCCCCTCCTCTCCTCTCCTCTCCTCTCCTCTCTTCTCCTCTCCTCCTTCTCCATACCTTCCTCCCCTTTTACATACACTCCCCACACACACACTTTTACATTAATTTGTAGGCATACAAATTTAGAAAAGTTTTAAACTTCTGTCTTCTAACATGAACTTTTGTGTGTCTTCCCAAAGTGTAAAATTGCTGGGACATTACAAGTAACAGTTTATATGTGCTGTCTATCAATTTCCTCCTAGATGAAGCCTTCCACCTTGAAGGGAAGTTCATTAAGACACAGAATTTTCTAGAACACTGGTTCTTGATGCTTCTAATGCTGCGACCCTTTAATACAGTTCCTCATGTTGCGGTAACTTCCAACCATAAAATTGTTTTCATTGTTATTTCATAACTATGTTTGCTATATTAAGGGTCATAAGATAAATACTGTGTTTTCTGATGGTCTGAGGTGACCCCTGAAAAAGGGTCATGTCACCCCCAGCAACTCTCGGGCTGTCCTGCAGGGAAACTCTTCCACGTAGCTGGCCTTTCTCAGACCACCAACCCCCAAATGACGACTCAGGGACTTATTACTAATTATGAAAGCTTAACCTTTAGCTTAGGCTTGCTTCCAACTAGCTCTTAAAACTCAGATTAACCTGTTTCTGCTTTTCAGTGTTGTGCCACACGACTTTTACATCTCTCCCGTGCTGTATTGCCTGCTTTTCCCATCTCACTGGCATCTCTCTGTCCCTCTAATTCCCAGCATTCCTTTCTCTCCCCAGAAGTCCCACCTAGTCCTCCTGCCTATCTATTGGCCATTTAGCTTTTTATCAAACCAATCAAAACAATACATCTTCACACAGTGTAAACACATATCCTGCAAGACTTCCACTCAACAAGTAAACAACTCAAAGTTTTCAGGAAGTCCCTGAAATGAACCAGCTGTAGTAGACTCCTCACTCCCCAAGCATGTATAAGCAGTAAGGCCTGCTTAGAGACACTCTCAGGCAAGCCAAACTGCTGAAAGAGACACTCTCTAGCCTGTTGAGCTACCTGTAAGTTGTACAGTGAGATTCAGGTGTCCAGCTTTCGTGACATGGTAGGGATTGGGGGGTGTGATACAGCAGCCTTGGAGTCATTTCTGCTCCTCTAAGTAATCCCTCACCAAGACTCCTGTAAGTAACCCAAATAAAACTTATTGGTTCACCAAGATAGGCTTTGGCCTGTCATTGGTTCCCTATTTGTGGTGAGTAGATATTTGTTTGTTTCTCTAAGAATAGTGTCACCCAACAGTATGACTTCTTTTTTTTAAGATTTACTTATTGTGTATAGAATGTTCTGCCCACATGTCTGCCTGCAGGCCAGAAGAGGAAACCAGATCTCATTATGGATGGTTGTGAGCCACCATGTGGTTGCTGGGAATTGAACTCAGGTCCCCTGAAAGAGCAGCCAGTGCTCTTAACCCCCCTGAGCCATCTCTCCAGTTCTGACTTCTTGATGACATACACTGTATAGTATACAATAAGGTCAACTAGTATTTTAAATATGTGCATAACTTTTCCAAATTATGTCACAAAATTATATGTAGGTAAGAAGGTTCATCCAAATACAAGATACTCCAGTGGGTTTAATGTCATAGAGAATTTGAAGTTAGTAACCTGTCTTTAGATTCTACAGGATCTAAGAACTTAACGTTCTAGGAACTCAACATTCTACAAAGTGTGAAGAACTGGCTGTTGGGGAGGTCCTGTGCATATGTCAATAAAGCACTGTCTGGCCTATAGGGAATCAAGATAGGAGGGACTAGGAGACCAGAAGGACTCTGGGAAGGAGAAACACAGGAGAGTCGACATGTGACGCCATGGAGTAGGAAGCCCGGAACTATTCTCCGGTAACAGACATACTTAGATTAACAATTATGGGGTAAATACTTAAGTCAGAGCTAGCCAGTAAGAAACAAGCAAGGCCAACAGCTTCATAATTAATATAGCCTCCTGTGTGTTTATTTGGGACTGATGTGGCTCTAGAACCAAGCTGGCGGGAAGGCTTCTCTCAAGGAAAAAGCTTCTCTTAACAACTGGCCACTTGTCAAACTTGGGAACAGAGCTGGACAGTGTGCACAATTATCTGAAAAGATTATCCTAATGCTCCTGCATTGATCATATTAAAAATAAAACCAAAGGCTTTAGATGGGGCAGGGGAAGTGTCCAAAGTCAAAAAATGAGCAGGACTTCTGGGTGAGATGATGAAGGAGATGCTGCCTTCAAGTGACCTGGTACAAAAAAGTCAACAGTACAAAGCACCAATCCTTCCAAAGAGAGGGAAAGGAGCTTCTGGAATTCACAAGAGGAACAACGACAGGTCACTGGGAAGATGTAGCAAAAAGACAACACACAGAAAAGTAAGCCTGGCAGGACTCAGCGGCAGCCTGCCCCTCGCTCCCTCTCTCTCTGGTCTGGGAAGGGAAGCAAAAGCCTGGTCCAGAAGACGAGCCAGAAGACGCGGTGAAACAGAGGAGCAGCCCTGGCCTAAGGATGTGTCCATAGCTATACCGGCTCCAAATGCAAGCTCGGGTTTCAGTGAGACGGTGGTTCCTGTAGAGACCTGCCACTAGAGAGAGATCCATTTCTTCATTCCATGTGACTCAGGGTGTGGTGGCCAGACACCGCCTTGGGAGTGAATCCTCTGTTTCAAACTGAGATATCCTATGGGCAGGAGAACAAGGAACCACCACATATCAGGGAGTCTGAACTTAACCTGCCATGGCTCCAAGATGAGAGGCAGCATTTAGAGGCAGCTGTGAAGAGTGGCGAAGGCATAGATGCTCACAAACCCCCTGGCAGGGGGTTTGGCTCAGGCCAAGAAGTGTGTAAAGACTAACCCATGCCCAGTGCATCCTTCCACCAGGGCAGTTAATACTTTGGAGGACTTGAGGATGAAGCCCCATCCTCCACTGGTTCAGGCTGCAAGCCATTTGCTTCCAACGCTTGGGATACACTTGGGGCTTCGGCTGCTCCGGGAGGTGTGGAGAGGAGTCTCGGGAGTCCACAGACTGCAAAGCTAAGCATGGCCAGCAGAGGCCCCTGGTGCACAAAGAAGGGAAGCCACTAACGTGAAAGGCAATTTCCACCAGGGCAGCTCTTCCCTCGCCAACAGCACATAGCTGGCTGTCTCTAACTTTCTAGAAAAAAATGACACACCATCTTTTTTTCCTTTCTAAGCCCTCACTCTCCCCCACCCTCCCTTCCCCTGCACTTTTATTGCATTTCTTACTTTATCACATTTTTAATTATGTTTCTAAATCCTCCCTTGTATACTCATATGAATTTTGCTTACATGAAGTATTCTTTACCAGGAAACGCATTCCTTCTCCTTTCTCTTTTTCTTCAGGATTTCCATTTTATTATGGTGGGCAGGCGAGCACACCTGCGGCGGCCCAGACGTGGAGGTCAGAGGACAACTCTGTGGAGTCAGCTCTCTTCTGCTGTCCTGGGTCGTCAGGCATTTGCGCAAGAGCACTGCCCACCGAGCCGCCTTGCTGGACTTCTTCGTTTTGTCCCTTCCCATGCTCCTCCTTCCCCTTTGCCTTCCCACTCTGCTTTTAGTAGCATTTCAATTTACCTCATTTTTAAGATTATTGTATCTTGAATTTTTAGCTCCATCTTATACTCACCTAACCCGTGTGTGTGTGAACTTGCGTGTGGACGTGTATGTACCTGTGTGCACATGGAGGCCAGAAGTCAGTGCAAGCTGACTTCCTCAGTCAGTCTCTGCCTTGATTTTTTTTAAGGCAGGGTCTCCCACTGAACCAAGCTCACTGATTCGGCCAGATTGACTCAGCAGTGAGCTCCAGGGACCTGCCTGACCTCACATTCCCCTGGTGCTGGGTTACAGATGTACACTGTCCCTCTGGCTTTTACCTGAGTGCGGAGGATTTGAATTTGGTTCTCGTGATTTTGCTGCAAGCACTTTATGGATGGAGTCTGCCCTCAGCCCCTGGATTTGTTTGGTAGCTCTCTCATCAGGAAATTATTTTTGACTTCTTTCTTTTTTATATTGGTGTTTTCTAATCTCTTGCTCTTTTCTCTCCCTCTCTATAGCTTCTTTCCTTAGTTCCTTTCCTCTCTTTTTCCTCCTTTCCCTGTTACACTATTTCCACTCTTACCTTAATTAATCATTAACTTCACAGGCTATATCAGTTTTGCAGTTTGGAGTTTGGTGGTTATTAGTGCCTTAATTGATACTTTGTATTCCTGTGTCTCAAACGGTTTGATGATGTCTCTATTACAGCCTCCCCCACTTTCAACCCTCAGCAAAGCCCCCGTGAGTCACAAATGGAAAGGCATTCTGACATGCCGTGGTCACACAAAGACCATAGTTTACAACAGTTTACTCTTGGTGTTACATATTGCATGGGTTTGCAAAGGCCTGCTGGATGGTGTGTGGCTTCCGCTCCATGAAAGTGATTTTACTACCTGGACGTCTCTTTGTCTGCCTGTTTGCCCTTCCCGCTTCCACTCCCTCAGTAACCGGCAACCACTGATTTTGTTTTTAACTGTCTCTGAGGGGCTCACTTTTCCAGAACGTTGTCCACTGAATTCAGACAAAAAGTAACCTTTTTATTTTTTTAAATGTTATGTGTGTGAGCGTTTTGCCCGCAAGAATGTATATGAACCATGTGTGAGCAGTGACAGAAGAGGGCATCAGATTCCCTGGGGAACTGGAGTTACAGATGGCTGTGAGCCACCATGTGGGTGCTGGGAACCGAACCTAGGTCCTCTACAAGAGGAGCAAGTGCTCATAACCACTGAGCCATCTACCCAGCCCTCAGATAAATTCATTATAATGAAGTCTATCTTGTTATTTCTTCCATAGATTATTTTCAGGATTGCCGCCAAGCCCAGGTCACCAAGGCTTTCTTCTATAGTATCACGCAGGAATGTTACAATTCTGTGTTTTGCATTTCGATTCTGTGGTCCATTTCATCTAGTGTAAAGGGCCCCAGGTCTGTGTATTCATTACTAGATTATTACCGTGCACGTGTCCAGTTGCTCCAACACTGTATGTTGAAAACCTTCTCTGTATTGATACTGTAGACCTGCACCAAAGACCGGTGATCCACATTCCCGTGGGTCCGTTTCTGGGATGTCTGTTCCTCCCACTCAGCCCTGTGTGCATTCTGTCTCTAACACCAGCTGTCTCTGTGGCTGCAACTTTGTATGAAGCCTGAAACTTTCATCAGTGTTTCACCTCTGTGCGCCCTCGTCCCGTACTGACCAATCTGGGCCTTTCCCGTCTCCACATAAACTTTAGAATCAGCTTGTTGACACCTTAAGATTCCTTGCTGAGAATAGAATTTGGATGGCTATTCTCTTCCTTTTTCAGTTCCCTGGAAGATTTTATATTGGATCGGCAGTACTGGATTCATTCTTTATATACAAACCTGATGGAAATTAGTAGAGCCCTCTGGAGTTTTGTGTGGTGGGAAGGTTTGAATTACAAGATTTATTTCTTAAGTATTATTTAAATTATCTATTCTTATGTTGGTCTGGGCACTTGCTTGTCCCAGAACTAATTCATTTCAATTGAGTTTTCAGTTACCCAAATTAAATTACTAAGATTACATGCTTTCTTATTTTAATGTAGTGCCTTTTTCAGTTTTGATTTATTCTTCTTTTTTCTTTCTGGAAATAGAGTTTCTGAGCCTAGGCCTCCTTTGAATTGGAGTTACAGTTGATTATGTGCAACCGTCATATGCAGAGATTGTCCAACAGGTCATTACGAGCATTGGAAATTGTTGGGGTTCTTTTGGTTCAGTGTATGACTCTCTTCTACTAAAAATTTCGTATGTGCTTGGCAACAATTTGAAGTTTACTATCACTGGGGATAATATTTTATATTAAGTTAAGTTTGGTTTACTGATTACATTTTTTCAGATTTTCAATATCCTGGCTGATTTTGTGTCTTTTTTTTAAATCGGGTGTTGAGTGAGGGATGTGAGAGGCGTCCATGCTGACTGTGGATTTGTCTCATCTCTTTTTGTCCTGTCTGCTGGGACTGTGGCTTTAGATACATATATGCATGCTTTTATATATGACATATTTTACATAGTAATGTATTGAAGCCATGTCATTATATGCATGCTTTTATACATGGCATACTTTGCATAGTAATGTATTGAAGCTATGTCGTTATATGCATGCTTTTATACATGACATGCTTTGCATGGTAATGCATTGAAGCTATGTCGTTATATGCATGCATTTATATATGACACACTTGCATGGTAATGCATTGAAGCCATGTCGTGACATTATGTGCAGGCTAGGACTGTGACATCACAATGTATTGTTCCACATCGTTATGAGACTCTCAGCTTTCTTCCTAACAATGCGTCTTAAAGTCTATTTGGTGTTATATTAGAATTTTTATTCTCCCCTGTTTACACTGTGTATTGCACTCTTCCTCTCGAACTTCTGTGCTGCTAAAGAGATTCTGGGACAGCATGGAAAGAGAACATGACCTCTGTGGAGTCGGTGCTCTCCGAAGGGAATCACTGGTGATTATCCCCAGCCTCCAGGCCTGGGAAAGACTGCCCTGTGTATGTATTCCCCTCTCCTCTTCCTTGTCTTCTTTCTCCATGTAGTTCCCTTGAGGTTGCATTTCCTGAGCTCATGTCAGAGCCTCTGCCTTGGGCTATCTTTAGGAAACCTGCTCTAAAAAAAGGGGGGGGGGTGGGCTTGTTCTGGAGCCATAGATAGAGACTCCAGCTGAAAATCCGAACTACTTATTGGATGGTCTTCTGGTTGGGTATCCTGGACACCGATCCAGTGAATACTTGCCATAGCTTCTGCTCAGCGGCTGGGCTAATTAATACTGAACTCTGAATTCCCCATCTGAAAGGACCCATTGGCACAAGACACCCAAGACCGAGTTCTCAGCATAAAGGAAATTGATTTGCCCCCGAGGGACAGAGAGCAGGGACTAAGAGTTGAAGATAGAAGACAGAGGCTAGGGAAAGGAACAGGGGAGGGGCGGAAGGGATATCTGTCCTGGGGGGGACAAAGGGCTGCCTCCGGATGGAGAGGAGGCAGACTTGGAACATAGACAAACAGCAGTTTGTAAAGGTAAAAGGGGAACGCCTAGAATGAGGTGTTTCAATTGTTAATAAGGTCAGCCAAAGGGGGGCTTTTCATTTCTGGGCTTTAAGGCTTTGGTAGCTGGACCTTGGTAGTCAGCCTCAGGGGAAGACCTTGGCTAGCTTTAGGAATACAATCTAACAGTTTTGTAGCAAAGGTTTGACTTCGGAGCTGCGTTTGCCATGCTGGGACCTGCTGTGGCCGCTTCTCCATCCCTCCTCCACCTTGCTCTACAAATCTTCAGTTCCTCTTTGCCGCTGTGAAACAGGCCAAACGTTTATGGATATTTTTAGCGAAGGCTCGTTATGGGAGTGAGGGGAAGCAAGCTCCCATTCCAGGAAGCAGAACTCAGAGCCCTCGGTTTTACTAGGAAACCACAGGGTGGTGTGGAAGAAACTGCTGTCTTGCAGGCCCCAGGCTCTGCCCAGCATGTCTGTTCTCCAACCCCTCTCCCCGTGTTTTCATTTTCCAACAGCTATGTGTTTAGATGCCTCCAAGCAGGCGGCTTTAGCACAGTTGTTCCTTATCAGCTACAGCTTCATCTTGTGGCTGCAGAGTCTCCATACACGCAGAAGAGAGTACAGGCAGGGGTAGAGGCGGGAGCTGGAGGCCAGAGAAGTCTTCTCGGCTATCCCCTTCTTATATTTTTTTGGTTGTGAGCCTAGCCTTTAACAGCTGAGCCATCTCTCCAGCCCTGGCTGTCCCCTTCTCATTACCCAAGAACATTCCACCTTTCTGCCCGAGTCCCCGCCAGAGGATCCCCTCCTTTTTCTCTTCACAATGTAGTCACTAAGTTTGCTGTTATATGGTATTGCCCCCTGGTGGTTCAAGACTACATTAAGCGAATACTGCTGGTCTAAGTGAGTGGTGCTCAGTCAGCAATGGGGAAGTCAGGAGAATTTTTTTTTTTAATGTAAAGAACAAGGACAGGATATCCAGATCTAAATATATTATGACAGCGAATTTCTCCCTCTGGAGTCACAGCTCTGGTGACCTGAGAGCCAGACAATGACTCACTCTTGTTAGATTCTTTTTTGTTGTTTGGTTTGGTTTTTGTTTTGCTTTAAAAGTCTGGGGCAGAGAAATGGCTCAGTGGTTAAGAGCCCACGCTGCTCTTGAAGAAGACCTGGGTTCGGTTCCCATCCACCCAAATGGCAGCTCACAGCCCTCTGTATCCCCGGTTCCAGGCTATCCAGAGCCATCCGCTAGCAGGCAGGCATGTGGGCAAGGACACACGTGCGGGCAAAGCCTGCGTACACCTAAGAAATAAAGATGGTCTTTTAAGTGGCAGGTTAAGAGGTCACCACGTTTTCTTGGAGACTTAAAATATTTGGGGGCGGGGCGGGGCG